CGTGATCTTTAAAATTTTTATTTCCAAGTGCACTAAAAAAATGAAGGGATGTTTAGGACAAAGCCAATCAGATCAGTTGCGTCGACTGGAAGTAAAATGTTAAATGTGGAGACGGCGACCTTTGGGAGAGCGGCTCACCTGTCCCCGGCGATGATGGGGCTCTGGAAGCAGCAGGGGGGACCGCAGCGGCCCGGGTGCCGGTGTCAGAGCCGAGCACGGAAACACGCCAACGACCCATCAAGAACCGCGCCACTGAACAAACGGCTGGAGAATGTCAACTGGTGGCTTTATTTCTTAAAAAAGTTACATTGAAAGAAGAGGTTGAAAAGTCAAGTATACTTGATTTGCACATATTTGCCAAGTCTCACAGGATTCAACCACTTTGATAATTGTTTTTATTGATAACCAGGATATACATATGAAAAGCCTCACAATGAAGCCCAATACACATGTCCAACCCAGATGACAGATACTGCAGAACAGTCTCGGGAAGCCCATCAGTCTCCTGTTCTGTTAGTCCTCCGGCTGCGACTCGGCGCCCCCCCGTCACAGCCCACTTCCTGCAGTGACTGAGTCCATTTCACACCCGTCCCACAGCTCGCTTACTCAGCTAGACTGTTGTAGGCCCTTTGTGGTTCTGCGCCAGCAGTGGTAGAAACCCTGATCAGGACAGGGGACGGGTTAATGCAAACGAAAGCAAAACAGCTCACAGATGAGCAGAGAGGCGTGGAGACCAGGAGGGAGACGCCCACTCTTCTCAGCGTGGGACGTGGGCTCAGGGGACCCCCCCCCCAATACCTTGTCAGAGATGGCTTCCTCCTCAGTCCCGCGAAACACCGACAAACCAGGCAAGTTTAAGGCGAGTCCCCAGGGAGGGGAGCTGTTTGCTTTCTGGCATAATTTTAAGCTCTGCACCAAGGGTCCTATTTTATCGCTTGTGACGTGGGTAAAGAAACAAAATGATACCCCAAAAAGGTAAAAACTGAAAAATCAAACAAGCTGTCGCCATCCTGAATACTGTGTGCAAGCGAGGCCCACGGGGCCCAGGGGCTCCTGCCTCGCGGCCCCCTCACCTCGTCGGGCGGGGCCGCGTGCGCCCCCTGCAGGCCAGCTGCGCGAGCATCAGGCTGCAGGTGCCAGGCCGCCACAGGCGCTGCTCTTCTCTCACCGAGGGGCCGTTTACGCGCTGCCCATTTGGCCAGAACCAAACAGGTCAGTGGCAAAGCCCTCTCACGCACTCAAGATTTAAAAAAAAAAATTAAAACAGAAGGGCAACAGAAGACCACACAGGAATGATTGTTCTTTGGATTGAGATAGTCTCCAATATGCAGTACATTCATAGTAAACCCCACGGGAGGGGGGACCCCGCACAGCTCTCCCCTCTTCCCTGAAACGTTGGTTTCTAAAAAATAGCCTGTCTGTGGCATACGCCCATAACGCGTTATGTTGCCTGAACAACACGGCCCACTTTAAAACACACGTGCACGCACACACACAGACACGCGTGGACCTGCCCACAGGGTCAGGGCCCACCAGCCCCCGGCGGGGAGCGAACCTGCAGCCCTGCTGCTCCGTGCAGCGCCTGCGGCTCCTGCATACAGGCCCCTCCTGGACCGAGGCGGACCCTCGGGAATCACAGGGCCAGCGGGAGCTCCCCGAAGCCACCAGCCGCAGAATTCCTGGTCACTGGCTTGGCTGGTTTTCTTCAAGAGTGAGAAAAGCAGCTCAGCACCCAGGATTTTAATAACCCGTGTAACAACCCACGAAACTTCTTAAAAAATGCCAAGTATGTTAACAGAACTCCTAACTGTGCAGGAAGATGGTGACATTTGGCTGCTTCGTGCGGCCACGCCCCTTTGTTACTGGACGGTGACACGGATCAGAGCGCCACCCAGTTAGTGTGGGAACTCCACCATCTGTGACCGTAAACGTTATAGAACTGCTTGCTGCAAGCAACTGGTCTCCACTTGCCCTACTGGTCACAGGTGAGCGGCTGATAGCCTTTCTGACCCCAAATAAATAAAGTCCGTGAACAAGTCCCAGCACGATGAGAGCGCCTCACACCGAGAACTCGGGGCCCCCTTTCCTAGGTCTCGTCTGCAGTCGCCTGAATCGGAAGCCGACGAAGGGGTTCATCCAGAGCAGCGAGGGGGGGCCCCCAAAGACAGACTTCATCCCTTCCCACCGCAGCCTCCGCTCCCACGTCGGCTTCTCACTCTTCAGCCTCTCAATCTCCTGGGGGAAAAAGAAAAGCAAGTGGGCGGCAGCGCCAGGAAAACCCTCAGCAGGTTCGGGTCAGGCGAGCGGTGACAACAGGGGAAGCACCACCAGACTCACACGTCCCTCCGCACGTGGGAACGAGGCGTTGGGGTCAGCAGTGGGGGCTCTCCTGGCACCAGCCCCGCGGCCCCCGAGCACAGCCAAGCTGCAGCCACTAGTGGGGTGGACAGCCTAGGCAGCCCCAGAGGCAAAGGGGGAGTCAGTCCTCCGGACCAGGGATTGATCTTTTTTTCCACATACTGTATTACAAATATCAATCAAGCGCCTGCTCTGGGCCTTCAGTTCAAAGACATGAAGGCGACCAACTCCCTGCAGCTGCCAGGGGGCGGGGCCTCCTAGAAACGGAATGTGCCGGCTCCCCCTGCCTGGCTCTGTTGACTCTCACATCACAGGTACGCTTGAAACCCGAGCTGCACGCAGTGAGGGGGAGCACGTGCAGTGATGCTGTCGCGGCCCCTCGGGGCTGCCCCGTCCACCTCCCAGGTAACACGCGGGCCCCGCTGTCCACAGCAGTGCTGCCCGCCGACTCGTGCTCGCACCAAGGCCGCAGCAGACACAGCAGACAAGGAGCGTACCGTTTCATCATTGCATATGGAGTGGATCTGGGTGCCGAACATCACTGCGGTGAAAGTGAAAAACAGCAGACCCTCAAGGCACAGGAAGATCAGCAGGATCACAGTGACTGGAGGTGAGAAACCACTGCATTCTGTGAACGAGAAGAGGCTGGCTGTGGCCGGACATCAGAGCGCGGTGAGCCGCCCCGGCTCTGTGCCGCCCTCAGGCCGGCGTCCACGGAGAAAGGAGCTCGTTTTGCAAACAGGCACACCCGCTGTCCACCAGGGGTGGGAGGCAACCCTGCCAGGCAAGAACCCACACCACCACTTCCTGGTCGGCAGCTTCGGAAGGTTCTGTATTACCCCGGGTTTCTACTGAGACTGTATTCGTGTACTGCACTGCGTACTAAGACACAGCAAAAGCCAGAAAAGATGAGAGTCGTGTGTGCCTACGTATGTGAGCAGGCCTCACTCGGGGCGCACACCCCAGTCCAGGGCCGCCCAGCTCGCGCCTGCCTGGTTACACTTGCGGGGCGACTCGTACTCAGCCACGCACGGTCGACCAGCCAGAGCACACACAGGCCTGCTGGGAACAATACGCATTCTCACCCAGTCTCAAAAACCTGCAAGGTGCAGAAACTATTAGCTGACTAAGGAAGACCAAGTGTATGTACATGGCTTCATTATAGCAAAATGGCAGTGTGAGAACTGTCCTATACTCTTTTCTTAAAAAGCTCAATTAACTCCTAAATGGAGGGTCCCTTCTTCCTCTGCCTCCCCTCTCCCTCCACAGCGTGCACGTGCAGGGGGGCCTGTGCCTGCGCTTACCAGTCCACTGCCCTCGGACGCAGGCGACGAACTGCAGCCCGCAGAGCACGAGCGCGTGCACGGACGCCAGCGCGATGTACATCTGCGGGGAGACACCCGTTAGCCCATGCGAGGACGAAAGGCCGCTGACTGTACGTTTACTCCTGATCTCATGGGTCAGTAAAAATGAGTGAGGGAAGGAATAACAGCAGCAGTTGACATCCGCCTCGCCAGGACCACACTGGACCAAGGACAGAAACCCACAGCGGGGAAACACGTCTACCACCTCAGCCAGAGCCTATTACCAACTGTGGTTCAAGGTATCTGGGAGAGAATTAAGTCACAGTAAAACACCTAGAATTACACAAGCAACACACACTCATCTGCTGGCCTACTTCCTACCTGTGACAGCACAGGTATAATTCGAGTCCCAGAGAAGAGGCTGCAGGTCTGACGTCAGAATAAACTTACTCGCTCCAGGTAAGATTCCAGATAAAGAACTTAGTACAAGTCACTCACTCCATGAGTATCTTTACTCACAGTGAAGAGCACGAAAAATCTCTGATTCTTTTCTCCGACACAATTGTTCACCCAGGGGCAGTGATGATCCATTTTCCGAATACATCTTTTGCAAATACTGAAAAGGAGCAGTTAGATTTTCACTCTTTCACGCGCGGAGGAAACACCGCCCAACGAAGACAGCACTGGGAGGAAGCCACCCAGGGGGCCTCCTGCCCTGTGGAAGAGGTCCCTGCAGGGGCTGGGGCTCAGGCTGCACCTGGGAAAGTACCCCTCCAGTGGTGGGTGCTCTGGCTGTGCCTGCAAAGGGTTCCACCCAGTGGTGGGTGTTCACACTGCCTGGGGAAGGGGTCCCAGCAGCAGTGGGTTCTCTGGCTGCACCGGGGAAGGGCTCCCTCCAGTGGTGGGCACTTGGATATGAAGGGTGTCTGCAGATTGGGCACTCAACATGCCCTGGGGAAGCGGTGCCTGCAGTAGTGGGGGGCTCAGCCCCAAGTAAGGGGTTACAGCAGTGGTGGGTCTATGGCTACTGGGGAAGGGGTCCCTCCAGTGGTGGGTACTCAGGCTTCCCTGGGGCAGGGATTCCAGCAGTGCTTGGTGCTCTGGCTGCCCTGAGGAAAGGGTCCCTCCCTCAGTGGTGGGTGCTCGGGTTGCCTAAGGAAAGGGGTCCCTGTAAGGGTGGGTGTGGGTGAACAGACTGCCCTGGGGAAGAAATCCTTCAGCGTGGGCTCTGGCTGCGCCGGGGAAGGGGCCCCTCCAGTCATGGGCACACGGGCTTCCCCAGGGCAGGGGCCCCAGCACTGGTGGATGCACTGGCTGCCGCAGATAAGGGGTCCCTGCAGTGCTGGGTGCTCTGGTTGCCCTGGCAAAGTTGTTCCTTCAGTAATGGGTGCTCGGGTTCCCCTGGGGGAGGGCCGCCATACCTGCAGTGGTGGGCACGCTCGGGCTTGATACAGCAGCACTTGGGGCACTTGTAGATCACTTCTCCAGGCTTCAGCTGCAAACTCTCCATGTATTCTTTAGTAGCATTCCCTTTGGGTACTGCCCCCTATGGTTTAATAACAGTGTATTTAGCTGGGGGGAAGGAAGGTTAAAAAACATCAGTGAATGTAGGAATTAGTCTTGGGTGTTATATACCATGATATAATTTATAATGCAGTTGCCACTTACATTAATATGAAAAATAACTATTACTCAGGCAGAACCAGAAGTTTTATTTTTCATGAAAAATAACATATGCTTTAAAATGAATTCAAAATATAGAGTGCGTCATCCTTCGCAAGGTGAGTCACCTGGGTTTTTCAAACTTCATGCAGGACGTGCCAGAGGTGAGGTGTGTTTGCGAAGCCACTCCGGCCCCAGGGCAGCTGGCGTCCCCAGGGTGCCGGCCCTGCGCACACCTCCTGGGCAGGGTTCCCCTGATAACCACACGCACAGGTTTCCTATCAGCTGCAGCAGGGTAGCGATGAACAAAGCAATCTCAAAAAGGACTTTATCTTGTGTTTAAAGTTGCCAACCTAATCAGGAGCAGTCACACACAAGCCCCAAGACCCCCCTCCCCCAGGCGTCCGGCCCCAGGGGCAGGAACAGCGGGGCTTTAAGAGTGTGTCTGCAAGAGCCCTGAGTGCTAGGGGAGCTTGAGAGGGACGAGGAATCTGGAAAGGGGGAGCAAGAGCCGGAGAGCCCTGTACACAGGAGGGCAGTGGGCCCGAGTGGAGGGCAGTGGGCCCGAGTGGGCTGCAGAGGGGGAGGCAGTAGAGACAGGTGGTGGAAATCACATTTGGAAGATCGTTCTGGGCACCATGGCCTGTGGACTGGGAACAAGGCCAGGACCCCGTTTCTGTGCCCCACGGAGCCTGTCCTTCACACAGAAATGCACGTTTCTGGAGAAGGAGCCCCACTGGGAGGGAGGAGTAGAGCAGGAGCGCAGTGGCAGGAGAGCACGGGGAGACGGGGGCGCAGTGGCAGGAGAGCACGGGGAGACGGGGGCGCAGTGGCAGGAGGGCACGGGGAGACGGGGGCGTAGTGGCAGGAGGGCACGGGGAGACGGGGGCGCAGTGGCAGGAGAGCACGGGGAGACGGGGGCGCAGTGGCAGGAGAGCACGGGGAGCCGGGGGCGCAGTGGCAGGAGGGCACGGGGAGGCGGGGGCGCAGTGGCAGGAGGGCACGGGGAGACGGGGGCGCAGTGACAGGAGGGCACGGGGAGACGGCGCAGTGACAAGGAAGGCACGGGGAGATGGCGCAGGGCACAGGGAGACGGGGGCGCAGTGACAGGAGACGGGCGCAGTGACAGGAGAGCACGGGGAGACGGGGGCGCAGTGACAGGAGAGCACGGGGAGACAGGGAAGGCACGGGGAGATGGCGCAGTGACAGGAGAGCACGGGCGACGGGGGCGCAGTGACAGGAGACGTCAGGCACACCGCTGGCAGCAGGAGCTGCGCTGGAGCTCTTGAAAGCCGACTGCCCGGCTGCCCGAGCCAACGTCTGCAGGGCCAGGGCCAACACCCACGTCTGCAAAGCCCAGCAGGCGCGTGGAGACCCAGGACCACTGGCTCCAAGGCCCCCGGGGAGCAGGAGTGAGGCCCCACAAGGTGCCCCGGGTTCGGGGGGCAGTACGGGAAGGGCTGCAGGCAAAGGGAAGGTTCACTGCCTGACCCTCCCCTGCAACTGACTGCCCTCCAGATGGGCACCGGCCAGTCCCCCATCCTAACACCGGGTAGCTGCTGTGGTCAAGGTCCTGGCCTTAGCACGCCACCTGTCTCCTTAATCTACAGTGTAAAAACAGTCCAGGATTTAAAGGCTCATTTTTGAGAATTCACATCAGAAGGTCAGGTCCAGCATTTACTCAATTTCCCCAACACCCTCTGGAGTCTTTCTGGTCCCTCAACTAAGCCAGGACCCCAGCCCGCCCCACGCCTACCGCCGGCCCCGTGACACTGTTCTGACTTCAGGAGCTCCCACCTTGTACAGCTGCTCCTGGGGCACACGTTTCATAAGACGATGGAACGGACCAGGTTTAGCCACACACACGCTGCTGCCACAGTAAAACACGTGACCTGACACACTTCTGCGGAGCACGGCACCCCACACCGCCCGCTGGTTAGAGAGCGCTCCTGCAACTGCTCACGGAGGACAGGTGTGCATCTCGAGAGGGAGACATGTCAGATAACACGTAACAACCAGCCCGCGTGGAGATGAAGGCATTTTCTGGTCCTTCTTGCGGCCAGGCAGCCCCCGTCTCCCACAGTGCCTCCCGATGACTCACCCAGGTCCCCGCGGCTGGTGATCTACGCTTCGATTCCGTACTCCGAGATGTGCTCTCACAGGCCAGACGCGGAGCAGAAGGGCGGGCCCGGGTCCGCTCAGCACCGGGTCTCACCAGGTCACACCAGAGGAGCGCCCGCTCCAGTGGGCCCCTCTTCGATCCATCAAAGAAACCTTCCGAACAGGTGAGGCACGTTCCTCAAGCTCGCGTTCGCCTTCGAGCCATTTTCAGGGCATGTTTTTTCTAAGACGCATCTTGCGTGTTTCATCTGTGTCTTGCCAGGACTGTGATCCCTGCCATAGCCACGCCTCCTACCCCAGTACGGCCCAGACGGCTCCCCTTTGGCACAGCGTCCTCCTGACAGCTTTTCCATTCGCTGCTCCTGCTAGCGCCCGACCTCTCACACCCGCACCCACCCACCTCTGATCCGCCCTGGAGAAGGAAACCAGGTGCCCACTCTTAGGAAGAGTGCTCCCAACCACGGCATACATATATCCAGCGAAGTTACAATTTGCAAAGCACATTTCCCCCCCATATCTTTCCATCTTGACCCCCTGGTTCCCTCCCTGTCATGCATCCTGGATCCCCAGGACCTGTAGGGGCACGGGAGCGTGGCGCTTCCCCTATGCCTACCTACTAATCCATGGGCAGCACAGGGGGCGAGGAGCACATTAAACCACGTACAGGGATGTAAGCTGAAAACCCCAGAGTGGAAGGAGAAAAATGAGACACGTCAACCAGTCACAAAGGATACATCTTATTTGGATCCTGATTCAAACAAAAGAATATAAAAGGACGGAGACGACTGAGGAGATGTGGACTCTCATTGGACATAGTAAGGAATTCAACCGCTCCACACGAGCCACTGGCGTTGTAGCCATGCTTTTATAAAGAAGAGCCCTTTTGGGACTTCCCTGGTGGCTCAGTGGTTAAGAATCCACCTGCCGATGCAGGGGTCGAGCCCTGGACGGGAAGATCCCACATGCCGCGGAGCAGCTGAGCCCGCGCGCCACAGCTACTGAAGCCCGCACACCTACAGCCCGTGCTCCGCAACAAGAGAAGCCACCGCCATGAGAAGCCCGCGCACCGCAACGAAGAGTAGCCCCCGCTCGCCGCAACTAGAGAGAGCCCGTGCGCAGCAACGGAGACCCGACGCAGCCAAAAATAAATTTACAAATTTATATTAAAGAAAAAAAGATGATCCCTTTTTAAAGATACAGTTATTTACAAATACAGTTTTATAACGTCTGAGATGTACTTCCAAATATTCTGGGGCGGGAAGGGGAGTGGGCGAGGGTATCGCTGACACGAGACTGACCTCGAGGTGCCGAGCAAGGTGCGTGACCCTCTTCCCTCCACTTCCGTGTGCAGCGGCATGTAAGAGGTTAACGAGAAAGCAGGGGCTTTGGCAACAGATAACTGTTCAAACCCCAGCTCTGCCTCTTGCCAGCTGTGGGTCTCACCTTCTGACGTGATGTACGCCCACCTCCGCAAGGTGCTGGTGGGTTAATGAACGCCCAAAGGCATCCCAGGGCGCCCGGAGCAGGACCAACGGCTCCCGGAACCAAGGCGCCTTAGTGGGCCCTCGGCACACATCTGCTGATAAGGCCGATGCTTGTAAAACAAGGCTGGGGACAGAGGAGAGCTCTGGGTGCGGGGCAGTGGGTGGCCTTGTACAATTTCATGCTTCTGAACACTGAGACTCACCTCCAGAGGTGCGCTTGCTGCCTTGTGATCGATCAGCTCCCTGATCCATCAAATGTCAGAGACCCCATCTTCCTTTCTGCTCCCCCCTCAAAGTACCAATAACTTCTCAAGAAACAACCCAAGCCAGAGCCAATCCTAGCAAAGACTGACTGTTCCTACTGGCTTAGGACGAGAACGTCCAGCAGAGAACTGGCCTCGCCCCGGGTGGCGTGACGGCTCTCCTTCAGCCCAGACTGGACCCCGTTTTGAAGGTGATCCGCAGAGAGGAGAAAGCAGCCGCCCCGATGAGAGGACGGAGCGGACACCCGACCCCGCTGGCCACGCGGTCTCCCCCACACTGTGCATCTGGAACCCAACGCTCCCAATTCCCTCTGGTGTGAGGGGCCACCGTCTTCACTAGGCGGCAGAGGGCCAGGATGCCGGGAAGGACAGGGGTGCCTGGGGGCTCGGTCGGCCTCTCCCCTGCGTCCTTCCCGAGAGTTTCCCCACCCCAGTCCCAATGCGTGCCCGCGGCCAGACGCACCCCTGCCCTGGGCTCCTGACACCCCGCGGGGTGCCCTTGGTTCTATTCACACCGACTTCCGGTGGTTTCTGTAACTTGCCACTGGAGTCCTGACGGATGGCATGGCGGAAACAGTGACATCCAGATGTCAAGACAGAGGACTTGAACGGACAGTTCTCCAAAGACCTACAAATGGCCGAAAAGCCCAGCATCATTAGTCATCAGGGAAACGCAAATCAGAACACAATGAGGTATCACCTCACAGCTGTCAGGATGGCTCTCGTCAAACAGTCCCGAACAGTCACCTGAGGAGGTGGAGAGGCAGGAACCCATACACTGCTGGGGGGACTCTAGCGCACTGCAGCCGCCATGCAAAACCACCCTCAGCAGTTCAGCGTAGCGTGAACACTTCCACTCCTGGGTCTCTACCCAAGAGAAACGAAACATGGGTCCACACAGACCTGGTCCACAAGTGTTCACGGCAGAACTGTCGTCTATAACAGCCAGAAAGTGGGAAGAACCCCGATGGCCACCAGCTGATGATGGCTATAAACAAAACGTGGCCCATCCCCACAGTGGAGCAGCCTTCAGCCGTGAAAAGGAACGAAGCACCGACAGTGCACGCTGTGGATGAGCCCTAGAAACCTCGCGCCGATGAAGGAAGCCAGACCTCAAGGCCACGTATCCTTGTATGATTCCATCTATGTGATCTGTCCAGAACAGGCCAATCCAGAGACAAAAAGTACATCAGCGGTTGCCTGGTGCTCGGGGACCTGGGGGTTCGGGGCAGTGACGGCTAAGGGGTGCAGGGTTTCTTTTTTGGGTGATGAAAATGTCTAAAATGACTGTGGTGATGTGAATACACGAAAATCATGGAACTATACACTGCAAAAGGGTGAATTTTGCGGAATGTGAATTAAATTTCAATTAAAAAATGCTTGCATCCAGGACTCACACCCTCCCCCACCTCACACTCGGGCCCTCAGCGCTTCCATCCAGCTTCTTGGCAGCGAAACAAGTGAAGCGAACACGCCCACCGGGAGCAGAGGCAGCGCGCTGCACACACCTGCTACCCGACCCCCGGCTCTCGGGGCTTCCTGAAGAGCTGCGAGGCCTCTTCCCACGGGAGAGGGGCTGTAGCAGGAGCGGGACCACGGGGGGAGGGAGGCCTACACTGGTCAGGAGACACAAGCACTGTGATGAGAGGGGCCCAGCCGGGTAGCCCTCCCTCCACCGGGCACACCGCAGCCTGGCACCTGGGCACCGATGTGGTGGCCTCCTCGCCAAAACGCCTACAAACGATGGACCCAGCCCCGTTTTCAACATGCAGGAAGATGGCTGACACTACCAGGGCTCTTCCTACAGTGAACTTAAAGATAATAGCTAACCTCTAGCCCAGAGAAGTTAAATTAGTTGCGTGTGATTAAAAGACAACTGGAAAGATTCGTAAAGCGGTGGTGAAACCTAGATGCCACATCACTCAGCTTTCAGTCCATACTTCAGAGAAAAAAGTATTTAAACTAGAAAGGGGGACTTCCCTGGCGGTCCAGTGGCTAAGGCTCCGTGCTCCCAATGGAGGGGGCGTGGGTTTGATCCCTGGTCCGGGAGCTAGATCCCACATGCCACAACTAAAGATCCCACATGTCGCAACTAAAAAGATCCCGCAGGCCGCAACGAAGATCCTGCAAGCAGCAATAAAGATCCCACGCGCAGCAACTAAGACCCAGCACAGCCAAATAAATAAATAAATATTAAAAAATAAAATAAAGTAGAAAGGATTTCAGGCATTATTCAGTACACTTTCTTCATCTGAATAAACAGCTCACTGGAATGTTTTCCATGAATATACCGTGACATCACCTCTGGGCACTGGGTTCTCTCCAGCAAAGCCATGAACAATGCCACCAGCCTGTATCCAGGAACTCGTGAACCCCGAGGCTACGGGAGCACAAGGCCCTCCGACCGGTGCCGCTGGTGCCTCCCCAGCCCAGACCCGGCCGAAAACCCCAGCAAGAGGGCAGGTACTCACGGGGTCGGTGAGCATGGTCCTCAAGTGAGAGGACAGGGCAAGCACCGCCAGGCAGTTAAAAACGACTCCATTGACCACGGAGTACCAGAAGTCTTTGGAAGGCAGCAGCATGACAAACGTCACCACGAAGTCCGCGTACACGACCAGCAGCCACGTCACGACAGCACAGATCATGCCACAGCCGTCGCGGATGAACCAGACCCTGTCTGCCACATCGGCCTCGGATGAAGAGGACGAGGCAGAGTCGCAGTTGTCATTTTCGGTCAGGAGAGGATGGTGTTCGACATCCCGGAGCCGGTGTCCTGATGACGGCATGGTTTCCCTGGAGGGGCATGGGACACAGCTGGTGAGGCTCCCGGGGACACACGGCCACCTGCGGCTGGCCCCGGCCGCACTGTACAAGGACAATGCGGGGCAGGAGCTAGACACCCTTGGCACACAGTCTCCAAGCCCGGGGCAGACGAGGCCTGGGGTACCACGGCCCCATCCATGGTGCCAAGGCCCGACGGCCGACAGCGCACACATGCCAGCGGCTGATGAGAGGCTGACAGACAAGGGGCTCTTTCACTGCTCGTTTCCACCCCGACCCACGACCACAGAGCCCAGTTCTCGCCTGACTCTTCCCTGTTTCACTGACTTCTTCACTCTCACTTCTCCCTCGTTCGAACTGTGACAACGTGCGACCATGTTTTTGAGGCAGTCTTCTTTAAGTCTGTGCTGTTTCTAGAACACCCTTCCTCTTTCAGTCTTTTAACAGCTTCTTTCACTTATCTGTTCTTTCGACAGCTCTCCCATATTTCCTAATACCCGAGAACACATAGGGTCAGAAACTAAAGGAAAACCTACACTTTCCCTAGCAAACATTCTGATGCTTCTTTAAACCTATAACCTCCTCTCATCAATGTTTGATATGAGTAGTAATACTCGTGATAAAGAAAGAAAGGGAAACAGAGTCAGTTCATTTGGCCTTGTTGTTCGTGCAGGGGATGGAAAAACACTGATAGCACTTTATCAAACGCCCTGAGGGCTTTCTCTACTCAGGCTAGGCGTCTTTCAAACAAGCACAGGGCAAGCAACTGTGGTCTCCCCGACGTGGGCGACGTGGGCGGGGAGGAGGGATAAGAATGCTCCTGGGGTCGGGTCTGCTACAACTGATTCACAGCATCCGCTTTGGAATCCTGGCATTACTTTCTTCCTTAACTGTAACTAGAGCACAGTAATGATGAAAACATTTACTGAATGAATGAGTTTGCTGATGAGAGTTCCTTCTGCAAATATCTTGCAGAATTCCCTCTTGATACACAGATACTGACTAGTACAAGAGAGCAATGGAACTGTTCCCCGCAGTCTGCTCTCAGATCAGACAAAAAGGGCTTTAAAATTACTGAGGTGAAGAAACTGCAGCTAAGCCTTTGGGCAGCCCCGAACCAGCCGCTCTGAAGAGCACATTACTGGACCCGACGGCTGCCTTCCTGCCGACGCCTCTGCCGAGCCCCTTCCCTCCGCAGAGGCCACCTGCCCTACAGCGCCCGAGGCTTCTCTCTACCAAGCAAGTCATCCTGCAGAGGCAGTCCTCCTGCCTCTGAAAGGCACTTTGCAAAGGGACTCTGAACATCAGACACGGCTATCTGCAGAGGGTGCTGGAGTGTGGTCCTGTCTACACCACTGTAAAGCCTGATGCCGTCAGGGGGCTGAGACTCTCTGGGAGGAGGACCGGCTCAGCAGCTCCACGGGCAGCGCGCTCAGCACTCCCTACCTTGAGAGGGCGTCCGTGTCTCAGCCCCGGGCTGGCTGTCAGCCCTCGTGGGAAAGGCCTGGGCCTTCTCTCCGGGCTCCCCGTCGGGTGCCCGCACGCCCCTGGGCTCACGGCAAGTGTGCATCTGTTTACAGGCAGACGCAACAACGTGAATTGGTCCCCGTCTCAGATCCAGAGAGAGACCTAGTGATGGCCACAGAAGTTTTTTTAGTGAATCATAAATGTTCATCAAAGCCTTAAGCTGAAAAATTCCTCTGACCAGAATCCCTCTGCTCTATGGCTGCTCCGCAGATAAGACGCTTTCTATGAGAAATGGGTGCCCGCCTGCTGGGCAGTGAGCAATCGCTGCGGGGCCGTGTGTCCCGAGACAGGCTAGCTTTTTGTCAGAGCACACTTGTGCAGCCCGAGTTCTGCCTAGAAATCAGGACCTGAGTCTTCTGGACACCTGATCCAGTCCCGATTAACCTTCCTGGCTGAGGCACTGGTGACAGCAGCCGCAAACCTCCCCCAGGGGTGCAGATGGCGGCTCTATTTGTGAGGAAGGGTGACCGCACACATACCAACCCCAGTGGGCGTGAAGGGACATTCCCAGAAGCACGTTAGGATACTGAGGCATCACGCCTGTGTGCTTCAGAGCTGAATTTGTAAAATCCACTAGAAGGCAAAGGGAAAACAATCTGATACCCAAAAGTCACTTCATTTGCAAGAAAGCAATCGATGAACACGGCGAGGTTAGGCTGAACACATTCGGTTGTTATCTGTCATCAAGCCCAGGCACCTTCCGCTGAGTCACAGCACTTACACTTCATTAATGCAACAGGAAGGGAGGGGAGGAAATGAAGAAACAATTCCTTTACGCTCAACTAATCTAAAAATGCTGGGAACACAAGGGCAAATGGCACGGCAATTGGCGATGCGAAGCCAGGGCGAGGGCACAGCCTCACTCTGCGCTGATACCCATCGCTGGTGACTGAATACTTTGCGAGATCACGTCTGAAAAAAACCTGAAAACACTGTGCACTGACCGACGGTTTTTCTACTTTAATGTCCAGTTTAATGGGATTCTGTCTACACTCCGAACCTGAGCTGTTTATCCTGGTGTTAAATCAAGCCCGTTCCCCAGAACGCGAGGAGCAACACTGCGGACGTCCATTATTTAAGGGACAAGCACTCGAGCAAAACCCTTCCGGCGGTTTACATGTGAGAACTCCCCTCGTCTTGTAATACCTGCTAATAACTGATCAATTCCCTACATGGAATCTTCCTCCAGGGACACACTCTCCTTTTAGCGTAGGTGGTAAGCAAACCCAAAGACAATACGTGAAGAAAAAGATCTACTTGTCACCATTAACCATCTGAACTGCCCGTATTTGCCTTTTCAAAGGTGTGCAAGTTAGTGTCAGCTGTTAGAGAGGAAACAGTGATGAGAGACCTAAATAAACAATCACTTACCTCACAAATTATTTTTAGACATTACTTGAACATTTTGTGCCTTTTCTTCAGGATCTTAAGGTGCATACTGTCCTATGTGGTAGGATCTGAAAGATAGTAAAATCTGATTAGAAAAGTTACTTATTTTATGACCAAAGAGCATATACTGTTTCTCAGTGCATGATCAAATTTTGGAGCACATGTAACCGATGTGACGCTTCACACCTGAAGTTCCGTTATTCAGAACTTTCTTTACCTATGGAATCATGACTCCTCTAGGTTTTCGTTACTAGTAAACTGAATGGCAATCCTGAAAGTTAAGTAATTTATTTTAAACCTGTCCATTTTACCCTCTTGTTACTTTAGCCCTGGTCTTAAATACAAATCTCTAAGCCAAAATCCCTAAGAGACCCAGGGATAATCCAGACCAAATCTGGTCAACCTGCATTTCAACAGGCAACAACTGTTCACCGTTCACCAGCCACAGCAGAGGAATTACAGAAAAGACGGGAGAGAAAGAGGTGAGAGGTGCACCAGGCCCCGCTGGGGGAGGGTGCCCCGGGGGAGGGGGCACAGTGCACGAAGGAGTGGGTGGGATGAGTGAGGGGCGTCCCAGCCTGGCAGCATCTCCCACTGGGTGGGCAAGCAGGCGTAGCCTCCCTAGAAGCACCCATCTGGCCCAAGAAAAGAGGCCGGAAGACACCAAGATGCAGGGTGTCCCCCTCCCAAAGAGGTCAGATTGCTGCCAGGTTTCCCTAAGACCAGGGCTGCCAGAGGACAAAGGACCATGGACGCAGACGCTCCAAGCAGACGCTCCTGGTACATCTCATCCTTAAATATGAACCAAGGGCCAACAGATGTTCCGGAGAAGAGCTCAAACGGGTCTCATGAAAGAGCCCCAGAAAGAAAAGAGAGAAACCGGAATTTAGAGCAGGCATAATGCACAGAGAAGGAAACTTAAGAAGAATTAAGAGACCATCTGTGAGACAAAGAGGAACAGTCTGAGAACGTCCTAGTTATTGAAAAATAAAAATATGATGGTAGAATTTTTTAATCTTACAGACAGGATTGGAAGAGAGAATGGGGAAATTTCCCAGAAAGGAGAACTAAACAACAAAGGGCAAGGGGGGAAGCATAAACTTGGAGTTTGGGGTTAACATATACACACTACTATACAGAAAATAGATTAACCAACAAGGACCTCCTGTACAGCACAGGGAACTATATTCGGTACCTTATGATAACCTATACTGGGAAAGAATCTGGAAAAGATTAGATATATATAAAACTGAATCAGTCTGCTGCACACCTAAAACTAACACAACATTGTAAATCAACTACTGTAAGTCAACTAAAAAGCAAACGAAAAGAAGACAAAGACAAAGACCTTAGGAGAGAAAATAAAATGAAATCAGAGGACCAATCCAGGAGGTCCATCTTCCAAACAACAGGTCTGGCAAAGGCACCCCCGAACAAGACGTCCTTCCTCTGCACAGCTCCACTGCCACCCAGGCCGGCGGCCCCGTGTGCCTCGCAGCCTGTCCACTCTCTTTGCATCTGATATCCTTCCAGCGTAACATGTTTCTCTCAGCAAACCCTCAGTTGGTGTCTGTTTTCTGAAACCAAGACCCCTGACTAGGACACCAGGGGACTGGCGTGGAAGAGGGTGAGGGGACTGGGGGGTCGAGGGGTGGGCAGGGTAAGCTCCCCCGGTCTCCTCCCAGTAACTAGAGGCCGCTCGCTGCTTCCTGACCGGGAGTGCCCCCTCCACCGGGCCCGGCTCTGCTGTCAGGCTCCCCTGCCCACCCGACCCTACAAGTCTCCTCAGGACCCGTCCTCCCTCCACAAGGACCTGGACAGCCTCCCCGCACCCGTCGCCGCCACCCTGCACACCAGAGGTTCCCTAGCCTGTCTGTGGCTCTGAGTCCCCTCTGAACTTTTCAGTAACAAATGTGGCCGTGAACCACAAGCTGCTTAAACTAACGGAGGTGACTTTTAAACCATGGCATATGTACATATATAGTAACTTTATTCAAATATCTATGCAGTAGCCAACAGCTTTAAATGCCAAATAACACGCTGAACCAGTAATGCCTAAGTGTGCCTAGTAATACTTTCAACTTTTGCA